GGAATGTAGTGGAGGGGTCTAGAACAGAAAGGCTGATAGCTTTGCTTTGAGAACACAACTACCACATCAATATGTATTTACCGATTTAGTTCTTAAATTATAATTTTAGTAAAAATTGGATCTCTAAATTTTTTTTTGGGTAAAATAAGTTTCTTAATTCATTAAAACTGCTAATTTCATCCTAAATATTATATTAAAAACTACTAGCATATGGGCACACACAAAGTGTGTGAGAAATTTTTTTTATTTTTGTTTTTGAAATAGAAGGAGAGAGGAAGAGAGTGATAGAGAATGTGGGAGTGAGAAGGTTTTATTTATTTATTTTTTTAATTAGAGATGTTAGGATTACATGTAGGTGATGCTTTGAAAAAAAAAACAGAAAAATTTGGTTGTGTGAAATTACATTTCTATCCCATATTTCTTATTCATGTTCTTTTTAAATTAGAGGGTTAAATTGGTAATTTCATAGGGTTTTGGTTGATAATGAGTGTTTTATTAATTAATAGAGATTTATCTAATTTTTCGTGAACTTAAGTCACATGACACATTTTAGAGACTAACGCCATCATTGTTTTGCCTATAAACCCTTAATGTTGCATATAATTTGCTAATCTAACGTCTAATTTACCCTACAAAGTTAACTTCATACATTATATTTTTGAAAAAATATGTCCTTAAACTACAATAAATTACCTATTTACCCTCTAAAGTGTGTCACATGACTTAAATTGGATAGAATAGCTTTGAAAAAAAATATTAGGGATGCAATTGGCAGATTTTACTAGTTTAAGGACTGATTTTTCTTAAAAAAATAAAATAAAATTAGGGACCTAATTTTTACTCAAGTAATAATTTAGGGATTAAATCGGCAGTTTACCCTATTTGCGGTGTTGTTAAGGGTTGGATGCAAAGAGTACATGCCAACAGAAGGTTTGGTTATCCACCCCTTCCGGAGGCTGAGAAGACTCACAGTGGCATTTCAACCTTCCCTTAGCCACAAGTCTGGCATCCACACCAGCTTTTTTTTTTTCAAAAAAAGAATAGAAGGGTTGGACCCCAATGCATAATTGTAAATATATTTTCAGTAATATTAGGTAGACTAATTTTTTAAATCACATTTTCCAATCTTGTAAAGTATTATGCAAAGTATTAGTAATAAGAAACAAGCATGTTAACCAATACGTAATAATTCAATTATCAACAACTACGTCACATGATTTACAAAATATGATTAAATAGATGGTCTTCTTAGCATTATTCATATTTTTCTTCTTAATTAATGCTAGATAAACCAACTTTTATACCATATTTGGAAATCATGTGATGTGTCGTCAATAAAATATAAGCATATTAATCAACATTTAAGTAATAATTCATTCATCAACAACCATAACATATAATTTAAAATATACAATTTAAATAGATGATCTCTCTAGTATTACCATCCTCTCTAGCTTCAGAGGTGAAGAATGTAGCGGATGAAGCATGCCTATATTCCCATATAATATATTTATTGTTTATATATTATATATCATGCACGGATATATTTGCTCCACATTGGTTGTTTAGCTTATTAGTAGATTTCGTGCCATTTTGCTCAATCAAATAAGAATGGAATCACAAGGTCGATGCAATCCTATCTAACTAAAACTATTGGAGCTGTTATTACTATTAGGGCAAAAGACTGTTTACTACCCTCATGTTTTGTGATTTTCAACATTTAGTACATCAAGTTTTTTTTGTCCTAGAGTCATACCTAAAGTGTAAATTTTGGGACAGTCTCATACATCTGTTAGTCAAATTGTTAAGTCTTCCGTTAACTATGATGCGGCGCCCATGTGGACAATGACTGGGCGCCACATGTTATTAAGGATCCACGTGGAAATTAAAAATTAAAAAAAAAACTCAAAATTTCAAAATTCAAAACCACCTTCCCATTCCTCCTCTGCAACATCAATTCTTCTTCCAATCCACCAACCCCACCATCACCATGTCCCAAAAATCCAAATCACGATGCAAAACTCGAACAAAGCCCAGCACCTCCAATCCAAAACCCGACCCCACCAGAGTTCCAATTCGCCATAGCCAAAGCCCAGCACCTCTAATAAAAAATCCGACCCCTCGAAACCCTAACCCACATCGCCGTCAAGTACATCGGCGCCGTAGCCTTCGCCTTGACCTCTTACGCCGCCATGGGCAAGCGCACCAACACGAAAGTCTTCAACTTCGCCAACGCCCTTCCCTTTGTCTTCCCCCACCCTCTCTAAATTTACCATTTCTCCCGTCCTCCATGGAACGCTCTCAGGCGTGAATCGTCAGTACTAGAAGAGGGTTGAAGCAGAAGCTCGAAGAAGACTTCAGAGATGAAATGATCGAGGGCGAAACGGACCGGAAAGTTCCATCCGTCGTCGAACCGTAAGACGATTGCCCAGATCTTGTCGGCGGGTTCGCGAGCAGGTCCGGATTCTGGAGTCCATATTCTCATCCGCGCAATCCGACCACCCATGGCCTTGCTCTCACCGCCAAAGTAGGTAGCGTACTCGTTGTTGTCTTTTATTTTGGCCGGTGTTCTTGGAGTTAACTGTTTGTTCATCTTTAATCTGAGAGAAATCTTGTGAGATTGTTTGGGGCTTAGGGTTTTTTTTTGGTAATTTGTATGCAGAGGAGCTTGTGGACATTGTGGTGGACTGTGGAGCAGTTTCGGTGCTTGTTAAGCATCTGCAGGAGCCTTCGCTGGCCACAGACGACCGAAAAAGCCCGATCCCATACGAGCACGAGGTTGAGAAGGGGATGGAAGGGATGGAGGGGTGGAGGGCGAGGGAAGACGAAGGGATTCTGGGTGTGTGTGGATGAGGGAGGAGACGGTGGTTTGTTTTTTTTGTTTTTTTGTTTTTTTTATTTAATTATTTTTTTAATATTAAAGTGGGCCTATATTGACACATGGCACCCAATAATTGTCCACATGGACACCACATCATCAATTAACAGAAGTTCTAACGGAAAACTTAACGGATGTATGAGACTGTCCCAAAATTAAGACTTTAGGTATGACTCTGGGACGAAAAAAACTTCATGTACTAAATGTTGAAAACCATGAAACTTTAGAGTAGTAAACATAGTTTAACCCTTACTATTAATAGATAAAGTTTCAATAACAACTTTCTGAAAAAGTATTAGTGTAAGTTCACAATCATTAGTTGAAACATACGACTTGGCTAATTATGATAAAATGAAATATATATAAACGATTTCATTTTTATCCAACTAATTTTTTATTGTTTGAATTTTGTGCTCGATTAGATTGGACTATACGTAAAATCTAAACATTTTTTGACTGATTGATTTTTGTGCTTGATTTAGATTGGACGATATGTGAAATCTAGGAAACCAACTTTGCTGGAGTGGTTGCCGGTATAAGAATTGAATTCCTTTAGTAATATTACACTTTTAAAAATATTCTTAAACTAAATACATTAAAAGAGAAAAAAAATAATTCAACTAATTACTTTATAACACGAAAGTAAACATGAAGAGCAATATACAAAGCTATAGGATTTTGTTGAGAAAGTAAGGAAGACTAATCTTGGAAGCATTGTGTAGTTGAAATTGGATGACCACAAATTCCAAAGAGTGTTTTTGGGGCATGCAAAGAGAGCTTTAAGTATTGGTGTAGACTATTGATAGGTTTAGATGGTTGCCACTTAAAAGGTACACGTAGAGGTCAATTGCTATGTGTTGTGGATATAGATCCCAATAAAGAAACATAGGTTATGGCCAAGGTATAAAATATCAGTGATATCGGAAATATCGGTAGTCCAAAAACACGGAAATTTCAATGGAAATATCGGGATATTATCGATATTAATAAAATTGAATAAAAACCACGGAAATTGTAAGAAAAACTTGGAAATTTTTATTGAAACTTTGCAAGATGTTTATTTAGTCAATTATCTATTAGTTTATCACAAAAAATTGGAAGGAAATGCATTGCATGATAGATATAACTGATTTAAGTTGATTATATAGCGAGCTGGCAAACATGGTGAGTGTAGAAAATATGTAGTAATTAATTAAAGAAGTTTAAACACACCATAATCATTTATATATAATGAATTAGTACAATATTTTACACTTTATACTTTGCATGGTAAGATGCATGAGTGACTTAGCAAGGTCTAAAATATTGATGATATAGAAAATATCAGTAGTCCAAAAAAATATCGGTAGTCCAAAAACACGGAAATTTTGATGGAAATATCGGGATATTATGGATATTTTAGACCATGGTTATCGCTTATGGCTTATGCAGTGGTAGAAATGGAAAATAAGGTTTCATGAATTTGATTCTTAGAATTGTTGGTTGTTGATGTTGGTATTGTAAACGAACATGGATGGACATTTATTAGTGACAAGCAAAAGAGCTTAATTCAATCCAATTCCGAAGTTTTGCTCCAACATTGAAAACGTTTCCTGATCCGATCCGTCTAAAAATCACTCTTAGTTAGAAGCTCCTAAATTTGAGGAGAGAGAAATTGGCTCCTAATGACTCATAGCATTAATAAGGATTTTGCATTTGCTTAGTAAAATCTCAAATTAATTAAAACCCTAAACTAGAGAGGATGTTGCGGGTGTTCCTATTAATGGTGTTTTTAACTAAAACATTACCTAAAAAATACAGTAGGATTGAAGATGCTCTAACGTCAACATTCATTTATGATACCAAGATCTTGTAAAATTAGTTGCAAATTAATCAAGTACGACATATTTATGGAGAAGCCAATTTGGTGGTTGATGAACTTGCTTCAATCGGTCATCACAAGATGACACAAAGAAAGTTAACATTAGGCGGATTAGCATCCAGTGGCAACAAGACGTCACTTGCAATTGATACAAGATAATCCTTCCAAAAATATTGAAAAGAAAGAGGTCAACACTATACTAGTATGGCCTAAGCCCACACTTGTTTGCTATCTCGAACCAAAGTCCACAATTCAGAAAAAGATAAAGAACTCAATGGCAAATTATCATCACCCTGAAGCAGTCTGGTCAATCCGTGTGGATTGGTTACAAATTTACAATAAATAAATTGAATAAATATCACAAACAAAATATCTTAAAAGAAAACTGACAACTTCAACACAAAGCAATACACAACAACGGCCACACACATATATAGTTCAGAAATACATGAAGAAAACAGTGACTAAAATACCATGGCAACAAATTGAATAAAAATCAAATCCCAAACAATGGAGAAAATTTCAGTCAGTGAAATTGCATGCATGCCTCAGGCTTGATCAAAGTTCAGTATAACAGTAAGTCCTCCTCAAACTCTTAGGCCTTGAGAACTCCAACACCGGGGAGCATGAAACCCTTAGAGTGCGGTGGCGTGACTTCCAAGCTCCAACCTTAAATCTAATCCTTGCCTTGAGCCAAACGTCAAACTGAATCTTCCCTGATCTTTTCTCAAGCATTAGATCCTTAGAGACGGGGCTGGAAAGTGCAGCGGAGCGAGCTGTGAACTTGACATCAAAGCGCGTCACATTTCGATGGCGCTGATAGAAGGGATCAACCCCGGAAAATGCCAGAGTCTGGTCATTGTAATTCACAGTAGCTCCAATAGAGTCATAGTATATGGAGACTCTTTTGTTGGGATTATAGGATCTTATTACAAAATCAAAATTGGCTGAGAGGTGGTCATTCGTTAGGTTGAAGTTTTGGATCGAACCATTTTCGATGGTGTAAACAAGGCGTTTTGGCTTCACAACGAGCCAGGTGATAAGCACCACAAGACCCAAGAGGACAATCAAAGCTAGCAAGACTATGGCAATGATTCTAATTAGATTTGACTTTGATTTGGGTGCTTGTGAGGGCTGTGATGCAGAAGTAGGCATTGTGAGGAATTAGGGTTTTTTTGGACTAAATTTTGGTGGTGTTTGAGAAGCTAAAATTTGTTTCACTCTTTGAATTCTGCTTGGTGGGTTAAGAGCTACAAAGTGCACCTATTCTAGTTCAAGTGAACTATATAAGAGAAGTCTTGGGGTCTCTGCCACATTCTTTAACCCGCCTTTTTCTCTGTTACCTTTACACTTTTTCTCTTTTTATTTCGTGCATGTAACTCAAGACATCTTGCTCAAGGACTGAGGTTAACAGTTTGTTCTTTTCTTCAGCTCTGGATGTCCTAATATTAATGAAAAGTATTATATATGTGATTGAGAAGCATCATTCTTGGTAATATTTTCTTCATTATCGCTCATCGATCACCTGGTGACCAAGAGAATTAGAGAACTTGATTCTGAAAAGGTGGCTTTTTCCTAATGTGAGATTATCTTGAACGATAGTTGTAGGATGTGAGTAGTCAATCAATTGACACTATACAAGGTGACAAGCTGCTACACGTGCCCTGGACAACAAGAAGATCATCAAAGAAAAGATATTACTACCATATATATATGGGACAACGAAAGGAAGTGCCATTTCAATGTTGGCTTCATGTCACTAATTTGTTAAAATCGACATTTAATTACATAGATGTACTAAACCCACTCTTGCTTTGCCTCCAAGATATACTAAACCCACTCTTGGAAGCTGCTCTTTTTGTTTTTAATATTTTATTAGTTCTTCCCATCTCCGCCAAAAAAGAAAATAATAATAATAATAATAATACAGGATCCCAGACTTAGAGCTCAAGTTTAACAATTAGAGGAAGATGATCTATCTTATTCGGCTGTAGCTACCCATGAAATTCCTTGTTCTATAAAGCTTCCAGGCATATACTTGAAGTGAAAAAATTAATTATTTGAAAGAAAGATAGGGATGCCGCCAGACTATCCTTCATAGCTCGCCAGATGAATGGCTCAACCGTTCGAATGAAAAAGAGCTCATCGAGAGACAAAGAAAACGATGGGTTCATACCGGATACAACCGTCACAAAACAAAAATTCGGCCTATTTGTGCTGTGACACTTACCAAATACCATAGTTGTATGAATTCCATACCAAGCAACGTAATTAATTCCTTACATGTATACTTTTTTTTTTATTAAAAGCTAACGAATATGCTTTATATATTCTAAACGTTTGAATTCTAATCAACCGACAAGTTTTCTTCTGGTAAGCAATTTTCTCGCCCATTGCAAAGCAATAAACTTTGTGCGCGATCATTCTTACCCACCCAAAACTTAATTTGGTGACGTTCACATGAGTTCGAACACTTTATTGCTTTTCTTTAATGGCACCCCGAGATCCTCACATAGGCATTAAGCATATCAGAACGGAACGTGGACGAAACCTTTACTCAAATCCTATTTCCCCTAATTTATTTGTGCTCACAGACTTAATGGAGACAAATTGGTATCTACTCACACCTATAACCACTTGCTTGCAACTAAATGTGGCATGCACCCTTCATAATACTGCCACGCGTCATTATAATGGACATCCACGTCACTCACACTATGGGGGAAGCGCATGACAAGTGCGATAGAAATAAAAAGAGAAAAGTGAGGAAGGAGAGAAAGCGATTTGGAGAGCAGAGAATCTTACTCTAATAAAAGTTGAATATTAGAGTACGCAACGAATAAACGAACCAACTGAATATAAAATTTTATTAAATTGAATTGCCAAGAAGGCTACATAAACCAAAGAGGCTACATCTTGACTAACTTGTCATTCTACGAGCTATAAAACATTATATATATAGAGAACTAACCTAACCCTAATAAGAAAGAAAACAAAACACTATACTAACGGGCTAAACCCAGATTCAAATAATAAAATAATCCTAAATTCCAACAATAAAAACCCTAATTATAAATGGCAAGGGCTGCTAAAGGGAGGCAAAAGGAGAAAAAGAATGAAAAGGAAAGGACTATAAAAGTGATGACACCAACTTCGGTGGTAGCCGGATATGCTTGGAAGATCCTTATGAACCCTACATTCTTCAACAACCAACAGTCCTAACTTTTTTGCATTGCCTTCTCTCTCTCACCCCCCTCTCTCTCTGCGTATAAATGGAGACCCTCTTCTCTCATTCTCTTTCACGACCACAGCAACATATTAAGAGACATATAGTATGAAATACTTCAGTTTTGGCCCCCAAGTGCCCTAGAATTCTAGGCCACCCCCACCATGCTAGTGCAGTCCACATATAGTTTTGGACTGGTTTAGGTCATTGGTGGTGGCGGCTACGTGCGCACTGGTTTTCTGTAACGGGAGAAATGAAGCTTGTTCTGCAGCAGCCTCTTTTTCAAAGGGTCTGTTAATATTTCTCCTACACAGGGCAATTTCAGTCCTTTGGCATTTTACCCAACTGGGAATATCTCTTCCTCGTTAACTATGCAGTTTAAACTTTTAGGTTTATATGAACAATTACTGGCATCTGATGAAAGCTTGGGTTTTCAGTATTTTGGTTAATTTTTTTTCCAGTTATTAATTGATGTAACGGAAATCAGCAGGCAGCTTATGCCCAGTTTGATCAATATATATGAAGTTTTGCTGAAACTATTGATAGAGAAGCAATGTATTATTTATGATGGTTTTAGTTGAGAGACTTTTAATTATTTAGTGTTGTAGGTTGTCAAATTGTTATGCAATTTTTCCGATCTTTTTCACGTGTCAAATTGATGCCATGGATCTATTATTTCATTCTTAGTCTCCCTTTAAATAGGAGGGGCGCCCAAGCAATTGGGTGATTAAATCCCCTAAAACCCACAAATTCCTCCCAATATCGAGCCCAATTAGTTGGGCTACAGTGGAAGGAAGCAGGCCCGACTGCTTAATTGGGCTACAATCGCCCAACCCAACGCCTGAGGCTACATGATGTCACGTCACTCACGTTAGAGCGCGATGCAGGCTTTGATGATTGCTACGAATATGGGACGTTAGATTTTTTAAATCTAACGATGTTAATCTAGAATTTTAAAAATTAAAAGAAGAAATATCGAAAAAAGACTTCTTATTCACTTGGCACAACCTGGACTCTTGGATTGTAAAAAAAGATGTCATCCAACATTTTATATTAATTATGTTAGTAAGAAATGTTTAAAATAAGAAAATAAAATTAAGAGTATATATAAACCTTGGCGCCACTAAAACCAGATTGTAATTCAAATAATAATACAAGTGGGCCTGATGAAATTGGTTAAAAGCCTCATTCAAAATTAAACAGAGTATTAATTTTTTCAAATACTCGTTGCCGGGATGAAGATACACTCAGACAATTATTATTTTCTTTCTTTACCCAATTGACGAAGCAATTATTTCTTTAGTAGAGTGAAAGTTCAGTTGACTGAAAGAATACAGGAAAAATCTTTACGGAATCTATTATTGCGTTAGCCGAGTGTAGTCGTGTAGTAGATGTTCTTAAAAAAATAAAAAACAAAAAATAAAAGAGAGTAGATGAAATCAGAGAGCTGGGTTAAATTGGATAATTTTAAATAGTTTATATCCTTAACTTGCCAAAAAATTAAAAAAAAAAAAAAAAAATTGAGGAGTTCAGAATTCTAAATCAGGTGATAGTGGCAGTTTACCCCTTCTACTCTTCCTCAAAAATCAACCCGACGTTTCCTATTTCCTCCCAAATACAAATCTCTCCGACTCTTTCTGAAACCCTAATTTTTCCCCCTTTCACAAATCCCATCTTTTCCGGATTTAAGGGTTTATTTTTTTGTTAAATTTCGATTCACCTTTAGGCTCGATTTTGGGTTTGCAATTCCTCTAATCCAAATCTGAACCAGGGATTTGCGAAATTTCTAGGGTTTTGAGTTGATCTGAGGCCGTGCATGGCGAAAGGTACGGATGCTGAGGAGTTCGTGCTGATGTCTAAGGTCCGGGCGGGGCTGAAACGCGAGTTCGCGTTTGCGTTGAAGGCCCAGGCTGAAATCTCTGGCTCTTTGGGGCGGACTCGGGGCAGTAGGGCCCAGAACGGCGACTGTAAGAGGATGAAGACGGAGGAGCGCAGCCGTGGTGATGGTGACGAGAAATTGGGGGGTGGGGAGATTGGGGAGGGCGAGAATGTGAACGTTAAGGAGGAATTGGAGGAGGCTATGAGCGAAGAGGATGCGAAAAGCGATGTGGTGGACGTCATGAGCGACGATGAGCCAAAATTCCATGGGGGCGAGTCTGTGCCCAGCGAGAGGGTTGGGGAAGACGAGTTGAAGCACGGTGTGGTGGAGATGGCAGTAGATGACGAGCCCCAGACTGGTTGCATTGGCGATAGTCAACCAGAAAAGCATTTGGTGGATGAAAAGGAGGAAGGGGAGGTGAGTGAGAAGCCTCCAAGGAGGTTTACTCGGTCAGCGTTGAAGCTTGAGGCAGAAAAAATGCAGAATTTACCTGCGGTAGGTTGTACCAAGGAGATGGCAGTAGATGACGAGCCCCAGACCGGTTGCATCGGCGATAGTGAACCCGAAAAGCCTATGGTGGACGAAGAAGTTCCTGTTTTAGTTGAGAACAGAAATGTTAAGGTGGAAGAGGAGGTGATTGAGAAGCCTCCGAGGAGGTTTACTCGGTCAGCATTGAAGCTTGACGCAGAAAAAATGCAGAATATACCTGCCGAAGGTTGTACCAAACAGATAGATTCGGGGATACAGAAAAGCCCTTTTGTTACTCCAATGAAACTTGATACAAAAATGCCGAGTATGGTGAGGAAGTTCAGTAAACTGAAAGAACTTCTTGACACCGGTATTCTTGAGGGGCAGCCAGTCAAGTACCTTAGAGGATCAAAGGTATTATTTCCATTGGTGCTGCTGTTTTTCAGTGTGCATATGATTACTGATTTGCGGTTTAGGGCAGAGTACTTATTTTGTGTTTTATATTTGTTGTTGTTAGGTAAGAGAGTCTGGAGAAACAGGGCTTAGGGGAGTGATTAGGGGCTCTTCTATATTGTGTCACTGTGATTCTTGCAAAGGAACAGAAGTGAGTATTGTTTAACGATATTTTCTTTTGTAGTTCATGTCTTGTAATGTTTGTCGATTTAAAGGGTTGATAGATTATTATATTGAATTTCCATAGGTTATTACACCTCCTGTGTTTGAGCTGCATGCGGGTAGTTCAATTAAACTTCCTTCGGACCATATTTATCTTGAGAACGGGAAGACCCTTCGGGATGTCATGACCATATGCGAAAATTCTCCCTTGGAAACTTTGGAAGAAGCTGTCCGACTTGTTATTGGTTGCTCATCTATAAGCAAATGTATGATCTGTCTCAATTGCAAAGGTAGCTTTTATGTCTGCATAAATTAATTGCAATACCCCTTGATAAATAATATGCATATACATAAGTCTTTTCTTTTACGATGAATGTAGATTCTATTGACAAAGACCGGACAAGGTCAGCAGTGCTACTTTGTAGCTCATGCATGGAGTTAAAAGAGTCTGGAGCTAGGCCTGCTGTAGGTGCTAAACAGAGTGACGAGTAAGCTTTATCTTCCCTACTTTTTTTTTTCTTTTGGTTCAATCTGTTTATCTGAAAAATATTTCATCTGCCTCTGGGTTTATGCCACATGTTTAAGAAGACTAATTTGGGGTGGGTTTAATGTAACCTTGACAGAGAGGAAGCTAATTTTATGATTAGAGAAATAAGGGGGTGTATCCAAATGTATTCGAGGGATTTAAATTGATTTTACAAATCTAGGGGTATTCAATCAAGATAAGATTTTGTGTTAGTGATATTTTTTGGTTTAAATTCATTGAACATCTGAACTTGACGTAGGAGCCTTATGAAAACATGTGCTTAAATTAGGGCCCTTATGTTGTTGGAATGGTTACTTGACAGCTCACATTTGATTGCTCAGTTGATTTGTGAAGGATTTTCATTTCTAAGCAGCTTATATATATATATATATATATATATGCAACAGATGGGTGAATCTAGCTATACTTCTAGTTTTACATATTTATATACTTACGTGTGATTTGTAATTTAGGATTTTTACTCTCCTATAACATATGAGTACAAGAGAGTATCATAAATGATCCTTTATTTTAAATGTTATTATTTGCAATTAAGGATGTGCGTGTGTTTACCATTTCAGATCATCAAAGCTGGTTTCAGGTCCAAATAGTCCTGATACCTTGTCAAAGTGTAGCTCACCAGAGCAGGTTACAGTTCCAAAGCATCCATATATGCCAAAGGGTAGCTCATCAAAGCCAGTTAAAGTTCAAAAGCATCCTCATGACGTGCCAAAGTGCCGCTCGTCAGAAAGTAAAAGTCAGGGAAGAGTAACCAAAAAGTATTCATCCTCTCTCTCTCTCTCTGTGTTTTGTATCTGTCTCATAAATATATTTTTTTTTCTTGACGAGCTCTGTTATTCACAATTGAGCTATTTTGTATGCCTCTCTTTATCGTAATCAGTGCACTTAATTTGCTTGTGTCTGAAATTTTTTTGAAAGGGATCTTCGGCTGCACAAGTTGGTTTTTGAGGAAGATTGTTTGCTGGATGGCACAGAAGTAGGCTATTTTTCCAGGGGAAAGGTTGCCACTAAATCTGGATTGTAGTTTTTTGCCTTATTGAAGTGGAATGCTATTTTCTGAGTAGTCATTTTTTGGCTGGCAGAAAATGTTGGTTGGTTATAAAAAGGGTCCTGGCATTGTTTGTGGTTGCTGCAGTGATGAGGTATGTTTACTCTCTACTGAATTACCATCACCTATGGATTTTTTGACACATCTATGATTTTCCTCCATTTGATTGGCAGGTCAGCGCCTCGACATTTGAAGCTCATGCTGGTTTTAAGTCACGTCGCAAGCCGTGAGTCATTGGTTAAATTCTTTGCTTGTTATACTTGTTCACATTGCTCCTGGAATTTTGCAGTGAGTTAGACTTGTTCTAGCTCTTGCACATGACATGATTGAATTGTTAGAATCCCATTGGCCTCCCTGCCTGATTTTTCGGTGGTGGGAAGGTTGTGGGGAATTTTTCAGTAATAACCTTTTTTTATCCGTGGTATTCTAAATTATTTTTGGACACTTATTTGCATTATTTGGCAGTTACATGAACATTTACACATCTAATGGGGTATCTCTCCATGAATTGGCATTATCTCTCTCTAGTCGTCGGAAGTGGTCTACCAAGCATAATGATGACCTATGCTCCATCTGTGAAGCTGGTGGAGATCTCTTATGCTGTGATAATTGTCCAAGGGCTTTTCACAAAGGTGATGTCCACAGTTGCATTTGTTACACCAGTGCATATTCTCAAATGCCATGTGAAACTTTTCACTTCATATATATGTTAGTAATTATGTTAAAAGGAACTCTAATACTTAATCGGTGATGGAATACTGTACACCCCTGTTGTTGAAAAGGACATGGAAGCGTGGGAAGAGTTAGGAGGAGTACAGTTCATTTATTTTATGTAGGAATTATTTTTAAGTATGTTTATTCTTTCAAAAGATAAAGGCCGGAAATGGCCATAAAATTAAGGGTGTATGTCCATACTGCGTTGCTTCTGTTTGCACCATTTCTTTTGCTGGTCTCATTACAACCCTTCTATGAACTATCATAAGTTTCCCAGTTCCTCATTTTTTAAAATTTTGATTAAGTTCAACGGAAATAAACAATATTAGAAAAAGTAATAATTAGATTGAGGTAGCACCCAAGTGATGATGTTGTGACCTGCAAAATTGAAATATTAGGATTATTGGGAAGTGGGCTGCGGATAGGAGAAGGTAATGAAGAATTTAAATTATTTTCATTCTTTACTTTTCAAAAAATAGATTTATAAATGTAGGGTTGGCAATGATGGCAATATTGTCAGATGAAAGGAATAGGAGGGTCTTTGACAATGTGCTTGCTGAGGAGGTGGACTGTTTATGGGGTAGGCCCGTAGGGTTCACTTTTGGGCTTTTTTCTGCATGTGTGCAAGTGTGCATGCACAATCCAATGTCTTAGTTGCCTCCACATGGTGGGTTAGGAGGGGATGTGTATTCTATTAACTTCCATAGTATTAACTGTTAGGATTTATCTCCAATTATCATGTTCATTTTGATGCTTTTATTATTTTCCTATCTTTATTCAGTTCCAATATGTGTGTGTTTAAAATTAATTGTAAATAAAATTTCTGAGTTTGGCATATCATTTTTATTTTTGGAATAGTAGCTTCATGAATTGAAACCTAATTATATCTCTTATGTTTTCACAAGTTTGTATTCTATAAACATAGGTTATGGTTATTAATAGTCCTATATCATGCATTCCAATTCTTCCTTTTTTTAGTTGTTTGTTGCATTTTCTTTTCATAACTAGTTTAGATGTTAGAATTGTAAGCATTACACTTGTAAAAGCATAAAACCGAAAGAAAGGATATGTATTTGGTATGCTTGTTGTGCATGAACTACATGTTTTATTTATTTATTTTTTGTCTATTGCAGAGTGCCTTTCTCTAACAAGTGTCCCTGGCGATACTTGGTACTGTAAGAATTGCCAGACTATGTTTGAGAAAGAAAAATATGTGGAGCATAATCCCAATGCTGTTGCAGCTGGAAGGGTTGCAGGGGTCGATCCCATAGAACAAATAACCAACAGATGCATTCGTATTGTCACTACTTTCGATGAGAAACTTGGTGGATGTGCACTGTGCAGGTTATTTCTCGTTTCAGTTGTCATGAACCAGGAAAATATTTGCAGTTATACCGAACACTTATTTTTGGCAACACTTTTTAGTGGGATGGAAATTCCAACATTTGGAGCATCAACTTATTTCCAATCATGAATAGTTTTGATTTTGATGTTTGCAGTAGCCATGAGTTCAGCGGCTTGGATTTTGGTCCTGGCACCGTTATTTTGTGTGATCAGGTACTTTCATGGCTAGCCCAATTTATAAATTTATCGAGTCTGGCTTTGAAGTGTTTTGTATTGCTAATTGTTTATGATTAGCCATTATGCTCTAAATGACGTGCTTATTCTTTTCCTCACTCCAGTGTGAAAAGGAGTATCATGTAGGTTGTTTGAAAGATAAAGGAATTGAAGATATGAAGGTACTCACTCTTCCTTTGTTTTTATTGTAAATGTCATTTGATCAGCAGTTTATTTTTTGTTATGCTCTGTTTTTTTCTTATTTTTTTGCTGCTATTTTAATCATATTTTCTTATAGTTAAATACATTTGTTCTCCAGGAAATACCGAAAGACAAGTGGTTCTGTTGCTCAGATTGCTTCAGGGTTCATTCAGCTTTGCAGAAGTTGGTAGCTCATGGGGAACAGAAGCTTCCAGACTCCCTTCTGAATGTTGTAAGGAAGAAGCACAATAAGAAAGGTCCGGAGAGTGGAGCTAATCTTGATATAAAATGGAGGGTGCTTAATGGGAAAATGTCTACTGATGATGAAAGTGTGCAGTTGCTTTCCAAGGCTCTTGAAATCTTCCATGTGAGCATACTTGTTATTTGTTGCTCTGTTAGAATATCTGCTATTTTTATAACAGTACCAACCAAGAGGTGTCGTAAATTATTTTAATTTTGTTTCTATTAATAAGGAAAATGTTGTGCTGCATTTAGCGAGGTTAGCGAGTGATCTGACCTACCTTAATGTGCATAATTGGCCCTCTTGTCCCTCGTGTCTGGTGTTACTAGATGAACTTCTGTAAGTGTTTCAAGCGGGATTAAACAACATACTTAATTTTCAATTTCATTTCTGTGCTCTAGGATCGTTTTTCCCCAATAATTGATCCTACTTCACGCCAGGACTTTATCAAAGAAATGCTTTATGGGTGAGCCAGAATATTCTCTTTTTTCCTATTACTCTTTCGTTTGAAATCCTTGTGCTAGCTACTACGTAATTGCATTCAATTTTGACTGAATATATCAACTGAGTTTGCAGAAGGACCATCCAGACCCAAGATTTCGGTGGGATGTACTGTGGAATAATTACAGTAAAGTAAGGATCGTTTTTTAATGCTTATTATGCAATGTTATTATAGTTATAGTAATCTGTTTTGACATGTTTTCTGTAATATGCAGCCAATTGGTCGTGTCAGCTGGAATGTTTCGTATCTATGGAGCCGAAGTGGCAGAGCTTCCTTTAGTGGCAACATGTGCTGATTTGGAAGGACAGGTTATTACTAATTTACTACTCTGGCGCTATGGAAAATCACATAGCCACATTTTTCTATTGTAATAAAAGGTTTATGGAATTTTGGGTTGTGGCCTTTTCTTTTTAACTGATTTCAACTGATTATTGTGTTGTAGGGTTACTTCCAGATCTTGTTTTCATGTATTGAGAGGCTTCTTGCATTTCTAAACGTGAAAAGCCTTGTGCTGCCAGCCGCTAGCGAGGCAGAATCAATATGGAAAAATAGATTTGGTTTTGAGAAGTTAACCCAAAATGAGGTGTGTGAACTCTTGCATGGTTTCTTCTACTGCATAAGCATGTTTGGTAAAATACTGCATAAGTATGTTAATCTTGTTTATTTACATAATTTCTTTTTGTAGATACATGATTACAGGAAAAGTTACCAAATGATGATCTTCCAAGGGACTAACATGCTGCGGAAGCCCGTCCCCAAGTGCCGAATCCTTAGGTCACATATAAGCAACTGAATGTCGGATCATCTAGATCTTCCGTTTTGACCGTGATGTAAATGACTCCCTTGTCTTTTGGTGTACAGAAAGAGCAGAAATATACATCGACCTTACAGGCTTGTTTTTGTCTTTCGGGTAGCAAATAGAATTTTAGAGGGATTTCAGTTTCGGCGACGGAAAGTCGCAGTAGGTTTATGAAGAGACCTACGGAAAGTCTCTTGGAACTTTGCTATTCATGGCACTGTTATTTCTGCTTCTGGGCATGGGATTCCATTTTTTGCTGATACTTTTGTTCATGGAATTTCACTTTGAGGAATTTTGCTTCTAAAGTTTGACGTTTGCTCGCCTATTTTACATACTCTATTTGCATCTAAACGAAAAGAAATTGGAGTCTCTACTTCTGCTTTTGACGTGCAAGATTTCCTGTCGCATTTTCTGTTTGACAATTGTCATCCATGGCATTTGAACCAATGGTCGTTCATACCATCTTAGGTGGCATTTGATGTGGATAGTCACAATTAATCAGATTTTTAAATTTAGTTCATTATTTAATAAACTAATAAGTAAGAAAAACTAGTTAATTAAATGATGATTGTGGTATACGAGGTGTCTTTCACCTTTTTTCCTTGGGTTTTGCAAATTTTTCAAATGATGTGGTTGTTCACATCAGATGTCATCTAAAGTGGTATAGAAATGTGGTATAAAAACATGGTATGAATAACATTGGTATCTTCCAATGTAACTTTCTTAACGATGACGTAGGTAGATTATTATCGCAAGAACTCGACACCAATGTGATGTTACTCGCTTTAATGTTCATTTTTTCATTTTATAACAAACATGAATAAAATTATTACTGGACTAAGAGTTAGTTGACTTTCTCGCCTTGTTTTGTAATGATGGTTTCTTATCGTTTGCGGTTGAGTTTTATCACAAATGGTTTTTGAGATTGATTAAACTCAATTATTTTGGTTTCTCACTTTCAAAATCAATCAATGTTGTCCTTGACATTTATTACCACACATCAATTTGGTCATTCCGTTAAGATTTCATCAACTATTTTGTTAGTTTGTATGTGAAACCCACAAATCCAATGAAATGGTGACGCATTGATTCCTGACTTTCAATACCGATGTCAATTTAATCATTCCATTAAAATTTAGTGATAAAATGATGAATCTGATCATTTAAAAATGAGGAAAACTAATGAAAATGGCTTGAAAACTTTGAGTTTTAATGATAAGGACAAAATAAAGGGTAAAGTGAATAGTATAAGGATTGACTTTTTAGTGTACAAATGTGGTTTTTCGTTAAAACTCCCTTTAAAATATAGGGTAAATTACACAAAACTACCTCAATTATGGGTCGAACGACACTATCATACCTCATCTTTTAAAAATGACAATGTCATACCTCATTTTATAAATTTGTTCTAATGTCAGAATTTTATAAATTTGTTCCAATGTCAGACATCAGTTAGTTTTTCTGTTAATTTCTCTGTTAAATGCTGATGTGTCTAGAGATGGGACCCACTCACTAATCCAAATGGATTAAAAAATTAAAAATAAAATTATTATTTTTATATAAAATTATGGGATCCACCCTCTTTCTCTTCTCTTTCTCGCCTTTCTCTAGGCACCTGCATCCCCAAAATCCCAAAACCCAGAAACCCGTCCCCCCCCCAACTTTCCTCCACCACCCTCTCCCTCTCCTATCCTCTGCTTTCTCTCTCGCCTCTTTCTCTCCTCTCTCTCTTTGGGCACCTGCATCCCCAAAATCCCAAAACCCAGAAACCCATCTAATTAATTTCTCTCTCTCTCCCCTCTCCCTTCTCTCTCTTATCTCTCTTCTCTCTCTCTGGCCAACCTACATCCCCAAACTCTCAAAACCCAAAATCTCATTACAAATCTCAAAGCCCAAAATCCCATCAAACCTCCCAAAGCTCACAAAGCCCCAATTGGTATCCCTCTCCTCCTCCATCTCCACCATCTTCGCCGCCTTGCTGGCCTTGGGGCCACCGTCCCTGGTGGAGGAGTTCGAGAAGGCGACCCTGTTCAACTTCGACCTCACCCTTCCAATTCAAATGGTGCAAGGATTAGAAAGAGAGGGGTGGGGAAGATGAACTGGTTTTTTTTTTTTTTTAAACTTTTCTGCTCAAGTCGAGGCTCAATTTGGCTCTAGTGTCATCCTCGGCACCTCCTACGTCACCCACGATGGGTTGTGCGCCACCAATAATGACGTCATGGCAGATGACGCTGCACATGAGAGAGATAAGAGAGAGAGGGAGGATGGTGGAGGAAGGTTGGGGGGACGAGTGGGATGGGTTTCTGGGTTTTGGGATGTTGGGGGGACGAGAGAGAAAAAAATAATTTTAATTTTAATTTTTTAATATTTAATTATTTTTTAATCCAGTTGGATTAGTGAGTGGGCCCCGTCTAGTCACGTCAACACTTAATCGAGAAATTAACAGAAAAACTGACGGATGTTTGATATTGGAACAGATTTGTAAGATGAGATATAACATAATCATTTTTAAAAGATGAAATATGATAGTGTCATTAAACCTAAAATTAAAGTAGTTTTGTGTAATTTACCTTAAAATATATAATTTGATCCTTGACTTTTAATGCTGGCACGCAAAAGATTTGTAATGCATTTGACTGATTGTAAAGAAGATATAATTTTAAAATATTTTAAATAAATCTTACCGTTGTGAGGGCCTAATACGTGATTAATCATGAAAACAAATCAAAAGCGGAAGTTAACAAAATTTTGAAATTCAAAAACAACCTGTGCTTCATCCCCTTTTTTTTCAAATAAAAAATAAGAATATAAATAAAAAGAGTGATGTTATTATTCTCATCTCAATATCTTATCTTCATCCACCTTTTAATAAATTTTTAATTACAAATTTGTCTATTTACAAAAAGACTGATAAGGACATTAATTATCTTGTTTTACTTAATTTAAAAAAAAAAAAAACAAGTTGGGCATGGGAGACAATCTGACTACCTTAAATCCTAACTCATATTTTCATTTCCTTTCATTCAAAGAAAGTAAAAAAAAATAGCAATGGACTTAGAAGGTGATTGGAAGAGGTAGAAGATTATGTTTCCATTGATGAGGTAGAAGATTATGTTTCCATTGAAAGAGGTAGAAGAATAATTTGTGTGTAGGACATTTGAATTTGTCCATTGTATTTTAAAATTTGTCGTTGTCGAATTCTTTTGAATTTGGATATCTCTGTCATTTTCATTTGAATTTGCAAACTTTAGTGTTTTTCATTTACATATTATTTGTTATATTTTTTAAGAGATAATTTTATAATTTCATATGTATGTATATATTAAAGGTTATTTTGAGAATAATAGTGGGTGGAAAAATAACATTTTAATTTTTTTAACTTTTTAAGATGGTTGAGATTATAACGGTGGTGGAAAAATAAGACAATTTGGGTGGGTGAGATTTAAGGGCATATTTGAGGAAATCAAATTTACATAAAACCCCCTCCACAACTTCCTTTCACCACCGCCCCACCCTCCCATCGCTCCCTTTATTAAATTCTCACTCCCCTTCCCCCCCCCCCCCCGCGGCGATCGTCGCCGACGCTCTCTGTGAGGTAAAAGCACTTTCTCCTCTCTCACTCTCTCTCTCTCTCTCTCTCTCTCTATCTCTAGAACATCGGTCTCGTTTTGTTGCTTGAAAATAGATTTTGTTTTCGCAGATTAGACTGAGAAATTTGCTAAAAACCCTGTTCGAGATTTTTTGGTTGAAATCGCGGCTTGGGATCGAAGGATGGGTCAGATCCAGTACTCCGAGAAGTACTTCGATGATATTTACGAGTACAGGTGCGCTCTTTTCTGCTTCCTTTTCTTTCGATTACTTCTTCATTTTTCAATATTTTTTTTGTTTTGTATTTTGACTAACACTTTTTTGTCTTTGTTTTAATGTTGGTACAGGCATGTGGTTCTTCCTCAGGATGTGGCTAAACTCCTTCCAAAGAATCGGCTTCTTTCTGAGGTAATTTCTTAGGGTTTTTTTTTTCCTAATTTTTCATTCATTTTTTTGTTTGTTTGTAATTATATGATCATTTGGTTCTCTGTATTTAATTATTTGGAAAATTTATAATGTTTGATTTCTGTGGATGAAAGACATGCAATTCATATTTTGTAATCTCAGTTGTAAAATCTACGAAACCCGAATTTAGAAGCTTTCATTCTGTTGTTTGGGGTAATTTGGTGAATTTTTCAGTTGTGGAACCCAAATTAATTCTGATTAGTTAGAACCCATTATTTAAGATGCTCTCTGAAATGTTGATGGTGTAGTCACATGAATTGTTTTCTATTGTCGTCCTCATTTCTGTTAAGAAATGAAATGGATTGGTCGTTTGGTTGCCGAGGATCGGAAGTACAGTGGAAAGAGGAATAAGATAGTGAAGGATATGATTCCATCAAGTTCTAAAATCAGAAGCATCTCGTCACTTCTGAATTCAATTAACACTCATTTTGTTTCATTTTGCGTTTTGATTTAGAATGAATGGCGTGCAATTGGGGTTCAGCAGAGCCGTGGTTGGGTTCACTATGCAATCCATCGCCCGGAGCCCCACATCATGCTCTTCAGGAGGCCACTGAACTATCAGCAACAGCAGGAGAACCAAGCCGCCCAGCAGGTGCTTGCAAAGTGACCCTTGTCTGCTCAAAGACAGCGTGTTAATCTCCAGAACTGAAATGTTACATAAGCAGGTTTATCATTTGTTCAAAAGTAATATAAAAGCTTCGGTCGTGGCACTGTAGTGTAATTCTCTCGTTTGGAGAATTGTTAAGTGTAGCGACTGATACTTATGTAGAATGGTGTTGATGGCTTCTCAAACGTGTTGGTTCACCAATGTTCTTGTGTGGATTTAGAACCATTGGTGAAATTGAGTGATAATTATTATGGATAAGATTTGTGGCTTTGCGTTTTTTGTTCTCATCTTTTAGTGGTTGGTAAGTTGAGTCGTTCTGAATAAGTTTTGTAGTTGTTGAGAAGCAAAGCTGATCTCTCTATGTGCACTCAAGATGTGCGGTTCGGGTGGTTTGAAGTATGAGTTTGTTTCTCATTCATTGTAAGTTTTGTCAGAGAAGGTGCCGAGTTCTCTAAAGGCTCGGTATAGTAGTCAGAAAATTTTGAATTATGAAATTAACAACGTCGATGTTTGAATTATGACTAGGATTTTGCTAGAGATTTGTGTGCTGAATTTCTTTGTAATCACCAAAGGAAGAACAAACCAGTTCATCTAAGTGATACTATGTAAGTATCATCGGGCATTATAAACCTGTCTATAAGTTGCATCTTATGTAGTTTTATGTAAACTCAGTTTTGTATCGGGGATGGTCCTAACCTCTCCACTCGTATCCGTGGGAGGAGAATAGGGCAGAGAAGCTGCCGACCACAGGTGGCCGGCAATGGAGTATAGTTCCTGGTTGAGAAATTAGAGCTTCCACCCCTAAAAAGTTCCTTGGGCAATATGCAATTCAATCCTCCGCTCAATAGGCAATTCAATTCCCTCAGGTGAATAGTAAGTTGCCTTTAGTGAAGCTCAAGTGCATCTTATTCTTAAATTGAATAGCTTAGATAATTTGTATTAAAATGTTATTATTTTTTTAAATAAAATAATAAAAAATGATTTTATTTTTAATTTCTAATGATAATAGAAGTTTGGTTGAAATTATTTGAAAATATTGAAATGTGGTGTAAGGTGGAAGAACATGATTAGGTATTTATAAAAAATAATTATTATATTTTATTTATAATTAGTTTATAATTTTTTATATATATTTTGTATTTTTAATTGTAGCTGACATTAGTCGTGCATCAAATAGCCTAGGGGGCTAGGTTAATTGATTTTAGCCAAGGTGAGACCAGCCGAGTGGATTGGAATGTTGGGGGGGGGGGGGGGGAGGAGTTTTTGGGGCGAGGGAGGGGGATTTAATCCATGGAAAAAGGATTCGACGCAGATCATTTTCCTGAGGATCCTAGGGATTTGTGATCGTGACCGTTCATTGTACATTGTGCAGTTAGAAATCATTTCAAAATTTAAAATTAAATATAAATAGTACCTAACAAAAATTGATCACACAATGTATGATGAACAATCACGATCATTGAATTCTTAGGATCCTCAGGAAAAGGATTCGACAAGGATCCTTTTCCTTAATCATCAGGATCCTTTTCCTTAATCCAATATCCCCTAGAGAATTTGAGAGGAGCGGAAGTGCTCTTATAGGATGAAATTTGGATGTTTGGGAAATAATAAAGGTAATGTAGTGTCCATAAAACCAATCTTTTTAATTCTGAAGAGTCCGTCGAATCACTCCTTATATATCAATTCCATTGGCATTTGTTATTGTGATTCTTTTTCTACATTCAACAACTGTCATCTATGGTACATCCATATGCCACTACGCTAATATGGTCACGACCCTATTTTGTAGAAAGGAAAGGGATTAGAGCGCAATTTTTGCTTATTTTTTACATTTGAATTAAATACACTGCGTCTTAGTTTAGTTGAGAGAGATCTTAAATAAGAGAAATTCTCGATTCTGGATACTGAACTACTTAACTCTTACGACACAAAGAAAAAAACATCACTGTAGCCCACATTCTCTGATTTGTCATGCTAATCCGACTTCGCCTTAATCCCGCCCTCTCTCTCACACCAATCCAATCTGGTTTGCTACTCAAGAACCTCTCCTCAGGTAACCTAACTTGAGAAACAATTCCATAGGGTCTACCCCATATTATATTTCAACAATATGAATGTCTGGGCATTAGGTCTTCATTCAAAGATTATCTTTACAAAATATCATACAAAATGAGAAACATATATATGACCATTAGATTAAACGGTGATCGTTATAGTGTTTCTTTAAGGCACCATATTTGTATTCCATTTACTACAAATGATGTCTAAATAATGTTGGATACATTTACTACAATAATGTCTAAATAATTTTGGATTTATTTTATTTTTTGGTAGAATAATTTAAGAATTATGAATTATAACATAGACGGTTCATCTCTACTAATTAATAAAACACTTATTGTCAACCAAAATTTTATGAAATTAACAGTTTAACCCTCTAATTAAAACAGAACATGAATAAGAAATATGGGGCATAAATGTAATTTCACACAACTAAATTTTGCTGTTTTTTTTTCAAAGCCTCAGCTACATGTAATCCTAACATATATCTAATTATATATATATATATATATATATATATATATATATATAAACTTCCCACTCCCACGTTCTCTATCACTCCCTTCCTCTCTCCTTCTATTTCAAAAACAAAAATAAAAAAATTTCTCACACTTTGTGTGTGCCCATATGCTAGTATTGTTTTAAACTACTTCGAAATATGAACAAGTTCTCTCTCAATAGAAGAAATGATACAAAATCATTAGAGGGATCCCTCAATAGAAGGGGTGATACAAAGAGAATTACAATATGTTTGGATGAAGAGATTTAAGATTATTAAGAAATTTTAAAATGACGGGATTTTATTTTTTAGAATTTGTGAATTTTCTTGTTTGGTTAATTTAAAAGAACAATGGAATTGAATACATAATTTGTTATTTTTAAACTCTCAATCATGGAAATTGGGAAATGACACTTATTTACATGGAATTTAAATTTGGGAAATGGAGGTCTCAAATTCCAATTTTTTTTCCACGCGAAAATTCTAAATTTCTATGTTTATAAATCCAAACAAGGAAATTGGTGCATGTCAATTTATAAATTCTGACGTTTATCCAAATTCCAAGTTTATTTCCCTTATCCAAACATAATGCGAAGAGAAAAAAAACAAAAAAACAAAAAAACAGAATTGCATGCTGAAAAAAAAAACATAAATGTGAAAATTATTTGTCATGCACCAAATGCCATGATTAGACTTGCCATTCAGTACTACGGTTTGATGGTATTCCTCTTCACTTTGAAGTGAGAGGTCCTAGGTTCAAATCTCGTGGATGACGAATTCAATACCAATTAAGCTGCCCATTGTGTGGTTTAGCAGAACTCTCCCCTCCCCCCTTAGTGTAAAAAATTGATGTACTAAAAAAATGCCATGATTAGACTTAAACTAGCAAGTATGCCCGTGCATTGCTACGGGTTTTAAAGTAGTATAAAACATGTAAAGGGATATATATATAATGAGGAACAAAATAGGTGTCCAAGGATGGGGTACTATTTACATAATGTGAAAATTCATTTTCAACCTTATTTACAAAACATAATAGTCAAAGGGTGGAGTAATATTTACATACATGAGTAACAAAATAGGTGTCCAAGGATGGGGTTCTGCATTTCTTCTCACATGTAAGTTGTCTTTTGTCTGTTACATTACAGATTGAGAAAATGGAAGTTGTTAATGTAAATAAATGAGAGTGTGTGAAGCTTTTGAGAATTGTGGTTGAACTCCTTTGATGAAGCTTTTGTTGGCACCATAAATTGGTTTTGCTTCACACTGTCTTGATCAAGAGTGTGTGAAGCTTTTGAGAATTATGGTTGCCCTCCATTGATGAAGCTCTTGTTGGCACCATAAATTGGTTTTGCTTCACACTATCTTGATCAAGAGTGTGTGAAGCTTTTGAGAATTGTGGTTGAACTCCTTTGATGAAGCTCTTGTTAGTATCATAAATTGGTTTTGCTTCACACTGTCTTGATCAAGAGTGTGTGAAGCTTTTGAGAATTGTGGTTACCCTCCATTGATGAAGCTTTTGTTTTCAGCATAAATTGGTTTTGCTTCACACTGTCTTGATCAAGAGTGTGTGAAGCTTTTGAGAATTGTGGTTGCCCTCCTTTGATGAAGCTCTTGTTAGCATCATAAATTGGTTTTGCTTCACACTGTCTTGATCAAGAGTGTGTGACGCTTTTGAGAATTGTGGTTGCCCTCCATTGATGAAGCTTTTGTTGGCACCATAAATTGGTTTTGCTTCACACTGTCTTGATCAAGAGTGTGTGAAGCTTTTGAGAATTGTGGTTGCCCTCCATTGATGAAGCTCTTGTTGGCACCATAAATTGGTTTTGCTTCACACTGTCTTGATCAAGAGTGTGTGAAGCTTTTGAGAATTATGGTTGCCCTCCATTGATAAAGCTCTTGTTGGCACCATAAATTGGTTTTGCTTCACACTATCTTGATCAAGAGTGTGTGAAGCTTTTGAGAATTGTGGTTGAACTCCTTTGATGAAGCTCTTGTTAGCACCATAAATTGTTTTTGCTTCACACTGTCTTGATCAAGAGTGTGTGAAGCTTTTGAGAATTGTGGTTGCCTTCCTTTGATGAAGCTCTTGTTGGCACCATAAATTGGTTTTGCTTCACACTATCTTGATCAAGAGTGAGTGAAGCTTTTGAGAATTATGGTTACCCTCAATTGATGAAGCTTTTGTTTTCACCATAAATTGGTTTTGCTTCACACTGTCTTGATCAAGAGTGTGTGAAGCTTTTGAGAATTGTGGTTGCCCTCCTTTGATGAAGCTCTTGTTGGCATCATAAATTGGTTTTGCTTCACACTGTCTTGATCAAAGGTGTGTGAAGCTTTTGAGAATTGTGGTTGCCCTCCATTGATAAAGCTTTTGTTGGCACCATAAATTGGTTTTGCTTCACACTATCTTGATCAAGAGTGTGTGAAGCTTTTGAGAATTGTGGTTGCCTTCTATTGATGAAGCTCTTGTTGGCACCATAAATTGGTTTTGCTTCACACTGTCTTGATCAAGAGTGTGTGAAGCTTTTGAGAATTGTGGTTGCCCTCCATTGATGAAGCTTTTGTTGGCACCATAAATTGGTTTTGCTTCATACTGTCTTGATCAAGAGTGTGTAAAGCTTTTGAGAATTGTGGTTGCCCTCTATTGATGAAGCTCTTGTTGGCACCATAAATTGGTTTTGCTTCACACTGTCTTGATCAAAAGTGTGTGAAGCTTTCTACG